TGGAAATACGAAACCAGCCAATCTTGTAAAGCCTATCGATTGAATCGTTTACAACTTGGTTACAAATGCGTTTCACTCAAATATTGTATCGATCGCTTGTAATCTTTAATAAACTCATCACCATATAATAAATTTATATGCACCTATACGAATGCTTGAATGCGTTGGATGCGTTTAAATGTTAATAATAAGAAAAAGTTGTCATTGTTACATTTATATAAACGCAATATCATCATTACAAAAATACTTGAATTGCATTTGGTTTTACTCCAATTCCCAAAGACAAAGCAGTCGTTTACGTATAGAGTTTACATTTACAGTTATGATTATTATTATTATTATTATTATTATTATTTTTTTGCAACTGACGAATACACTTTTTTTGAGTCATTGCCAAGGTGAAGTGGTGCGTTATAGTGGAAATAGAGAAAATTGCTCCTTCATCTGACCCTTCTAGGCTACTGAACAATTCACTTAGAGCTTATAAATTAGAACAAACATAAGAGAACTTTAGAAACCGTATAAAGCGACCTCAATATTTAATTCATTGTTGCAATTACATGATGATTGTTTCTAGGTTAGGTTTAGTCGCAACCGCAAACTCCTTCACAAATAGCACGTACTTGGATAATATCAAGCTTTCTGTAATACCAATATTTTGGAAAACGAAGTTGAATAAAAATAGAGATAAAAATATTTCTGTAAAGCCCAGCTCTATTCTCTCGCTGGTGAGGAGAAAAATTCATCAAAAGTCTTTCTTGCGTAGAATGTTGCTTGGCTACGCATAGTAAGAAACTTGAAAGTATCGCTTTTGTACATGTTTCGATGTATTCCAAAGACCTTATTATATAGCTGAGTCCAATTTTCTGGCGAAAATTGACTTGTCCTCTTGTCGGCAACCTTTGTAGACATGTAACTATTATACGAGATTAGCTTCCTTTTTATAAGAACAGTAAGTGGCTCCGCTATGAATAATTACACATAACTATAAGGGATTACAAGGGAAGTTAAGAGATTGCAGGCTAACATTATATCTGCATAAAGTATAATTTCGATATTAAGAATCAGAAGAAGTAGCCGGCATCAACTAACTACTTCAACAATGGGAGGAATTTTTCAGATTTTCTTTTACTTGTATTAAGCAAGCACGGCCCGAGGGCATTCAGAGAAAGCAACCATTTGCCTGAAATAGTGAATATTATCCCAAAGCGTTAAATTACTTAATGCTGGTTATGAGTTCCGGTTAATCACTGCCTCCAAGAAACATAATCAAAATATTTTTCGTTTTTCCTTTCTATCGCGAAAATATATAACAACCTAAGCCTTTATTATCGTTTTGTAATCTTTTGCAAAAAATAGACCACCAGATAAGTAGGAAGACTGCGATTTAAGATGATTTTCATTTGTGTTTTTAGGTGGCAGAGGCTGAATAGCGAGACAATGTTTTATCAAAAAGTTTTCTTCCATGTAAAGGAATTATGTGAAATAGTTTGTACTTGAGTCAGAGTTTTATGTGGATGAGAAACAACATATACTTGTACGAGGTCCATAAAGGGTATTTTTAGATTGTTAAAAAAACGAAGTAGCAAATCTTCGATGATGCATACAACAAAACACAAGAGATATTATATTCGGTATCGACGGAATTTTTTAACCATTTAACAGTGTCGACCTCTTTAGCGATATACTTGTACGCTCGTCAAGCACCGGCTATGTGTAATATAATACTAAGTTGTAATGAAATGACTTGACGAAATGGCAAATATATTTTCTAAAATGCATTATTATGACAAATACACATTTTATGACGGCTGAACGGATCATGACGTATACATTCCTCATACACAGTGAAGTAGTAAAAAGCCATCCCTAATAGCTTGTATACGATGCTTGATAGCCCAAGAAACCGTTTATCCGATATATTGATCGTATAGGGTAGGACGCATATCTTATATGTCGTAAATCCTATCTTTTACGATCCAATGACATCTTATAATTGCTGGGACAAAAACACGTTTTGAATTTCTTTGACTTAAAATATGGTTTTCGAATAAACGTGAACGAGTTCTTAATCCGTTTTGGTTGATGCTAGAAATGCGAAACGCTTTATTAACCAAACGTCCAAGACCAAACTTATAACTCTTAACTGAAAGTTCTACAACAGGGCTACAATATTTCGGTTTGTCGGTGACGACGAGGTGGAACGAATTTGCTGACTTCACAAATTAACCTGACGAGAGAGAACGATTGATAAAAACAATTATGACGCCAAAGTCTTAAATTCTAAAGACTTGCAGACCTGCTACTACAGTAGACATAAAAAGAGTAAAACTCTCTGCAGATTTCCTGGATTATGCACTGCATAGAGATCTTCTGAAACATATCTCTACATTGGAAACCCCTATCGAACATCGAACATATATATTTTATAAATAAAATAGAAAAAGATTCGAACATACAAAGTACCAGCAACGACCAAACAAACATACATTTAAAAAAAACGATAAATTAGGTAACAAATTGAAAAGAATCTCCTCTTCTTTTTTAAACAGAGTCCGATCGAGCTTTTCCTATACAACTAAGGAATTTTCTCTTAACATCTTTAGGCAATGAATCACTTTTCCAATGCAGTCAAAATAACGAGTTTATCCATTTTATATTACATATATATAAATATATTGATTATTTCAAATTAAGATGTCTAATTATAAAATAACGCGACATCTGTAATAACAGATGTAAAATTTTCAACTGCAGAGAGAGTAGAAAATTTCCCATAAAATCTTTCAGAATCTACTCCCAAGAATGCCATTTCTGCTATCGCAGCAGTGGAACTCTTCTTTTTTTCTGGCATTCATAGTGGAAGTCCACTGCCAAACCTATTATCAGTAATTCTTTACTCAAATTTTGACTTCTTTTTACTGCTAATTACTGCTACCTTTGATTCTTCGAAAGAAAAACTAAGGTCTAACGACTGACCTCAATGGAGACTAATTGAACTGACGAATCAATCCGTTCAGGAGTATACACTTTCTTTGTTGTGCTTCTGAAATTTATTTCGATACGTTACAAACCTTTAGCAAATCTTATATGCCTCGTGCGGCGAGTACAGAAAAATGCGAGAACATAAGAAAAGTTAAAGAGGAAAATTCATGTCACGACTATTAAAACAAAAAGTAAACAGTAAGAGAAGCTGACAGCAATTTCCTAAAGCATAGAAAGACAGACGTAGACTTCGACTCAGGAAATGACGAATGGTTTTGTTGTGCGAAATAAAAAAGAGAGTGAAAAAAAAGAACAAAATTAAAAAAGTCTTTTAAAACAATTAAATTATAATAGCATATAAATAAATAAATATTCCCAGCGAATACACATAAATCTGATTATAATGTTCTTCTATAAAACATGCATATGTGCACATGTATGCGTGCATATCTGCGCATACATATTGATAAGGTGAAGCTATTTATGGGACCCAATGATGAATACTAACATTCGTGTTTAGCATAAAAAATTAAAATTTTTCATATTTTTAGTAACCACATATACGCATAACATAGCATAAGAGCGAGCTAAAAAAAAAAAACCTTTAGAGAATTGTCTATAAGAAAAAAACATGTTTTGTCGCAAGACGAATCTTAGATAACCACTTCTTCTAAAATACGTAAATTCGTATACTTTTTTACTATGAATAGCACTTCGTAATGGTTCCACTGATGGGATATTTCAAATCTGTATCAGAAATGGAATGAAAATTATTCCAGGAACAATAACGAGATTTTCAGTTGTTTTATCAAATATTGGAAGCGCGTCTATAGTCAAGTTAAATCCATTTTTAATTTTTCAATAGTTAAAATTAAATTGAAAACCTATAAATAATAATGGCTTCTTTCTGCTTTTGACGATTTTTAAATTTCCAATATCATTTTCTACCGATATCTGTTTAGAGAAATTTTATTTTTTGACCTTTACAAATGCAATGGATAAATTAGCATACCCCGATTTTCTAGTGATGGATGTAAAAATAAAAGTTAATCATGTTCGGCGAAGAAGAGTCAAAGCGTGTACACACATGAATACATCACAACACAACAAAAAGTTCTTATTAGCCCAGCAGCTGTCTGGATAGGCTGTATTCACTTTAGTTTAAAGTCGAAAGACTTATGTAGTATATAATTTATTTATTTATATTCCTAACATGTAATCTTTTTAACGATTACTTGAATCTCTTAAACGCAAAGAGCGGCAACAGGAAAATAATAATAAAGATCAAGAAAAGATGAATGAAAAAAACTAATTATGTATTATAAAGAAAATGCAATATAAAGTCGTTTTTGATAGTAAGAAATAAAATTAATTTACGTAATTATTACAATAAGCTGAAGTAATTCCAGGTCAAGCCAGAGACACAAGTTTTTCAACGTAATAAAAAGCAAAAAAAAAAAAAAATACATATATATATATAGCAAAAAATGGCAATAAGTGGAAAGTTTTGGACAAAAACAATTTACTATTAATATTTACGTATAGATGAACATGTGGTGGTGGCCTAAAGGATTTGATGAAACGGCAAAAAATGATCAATTTTTACTTTGAAAGGGAAAATTTTGGCCTTGAGAGAGAATGCAAACTATTACGTACTCATTTTACTAATACAAACAACCACTAACTACTGGAGTGATGGGAGCGAAAGGAACAAAAAAAGAATTAACAAGATAGTAGGATTATTGATTTTTACAGTTTATAAGTGAACTTGTAATAGCGACTTTTTTTCACCAAACAAAAAACAACAAAAAGTCAGTTAAGTATACTCCCACAAGTCGAATATTATATAAGTGTAGCGTTTACTTAGCTTAGCTAGATCTAACGGCGAACAACTTTGCTGACATCCTTATGGATTACATGTACAATAAATATATGTCATATGACCGCACCCAAAAGGCTTAACAAACTTGTCAAATGCACAATGCAATGCAATCGAAAAATTTTGTATTTCTTACCAGCTATTACAGTATCCGTCAATATGTATTTGGTCCCAGTTTTCGGAAAATCCTTTAATTTCCGGTTTGTTAATATTAATTCACCGCTGAGATGGGCCTCCTCCAAGATACGTTCTAGAGAACGTGCCAGCTGATGATGATGTCCACCACCGCCGCTTCCTCCGCTGCCGCTTAGACCTACGCCGCCACCAACCACACCCACACTATTATTGTGTAGGCGGTTGTAGACGGCCACTGTAGCTGCCATCCTCATTTAGGCGTAATGGAATTTTAAATTTTCTTACACAAAAAAAAAATAAAGAAACTTATAAAAATCCCGAAAATCCTTTTTCGTTTCGTTGTCGTTTAGCGCATTTTATCGATCACAAAGTAGAATGATAAAAAATTTTTCTTAGAATAATTATTTCTTAATTTTTTTTAACTTTAAAAAAGAAAAAAAAAAAGGAACCGCTTCCAAGAATTCTTCACCTTGCAACTGCACACAAAAGCCAATCCCGCACAGAGACAATAAATAAAATAAAATCAAACTAAAACAAACGCATAAGAATGATGCCAATAGTGTGGTTTTTCTACAACACTTGTGAAATTTTCAGTTGATATGGCACAACGGAGAATGTTGAAGTGTACGTAACGATTAAGCTACAATAAAATTTTTAGATGTAATCTGCGTCACTACGTCATTGGACTACGTCTCATATTAAAGAGTTGAGACGAAAACTGCGCATATGTGAATATAAAAATTATTTAAGTACTATAAAATTACAATAAATTTCCTTTTCCAAGTTAATAACGTGGCAACATTTTTCATAAAACCAATTCCACTTTGTTTCCGTTCAAAATAAACGCAACTATTTAACGAATTTTAGCATTTTCAGTATGAGAAAAAATTAAAAAAATCGTTCACGTTGTAGTTGTAATTTTCCCTTTTCTGTCAAATTTAAATTACTCGAATTAGAGAAAAAAAAATTTTAAAGACTTTGTTTTTTAATAGGTAACGTTATATAATGTAATTTAAATAAGGAAATGAGTATACGCGTTAAAAATAAGTAACAAAAATTTTGCCAAATATCTAGGCATGTGTAAATAATTGTGTTTTGTCGCAGTAGCAACAACAACAAGTGCGGGAGTATTTTCTATTGTGCCAAAGAAGAGCCAATTTATTAAGTGAAGAAGATATTTAGTTAAATAATTTCGAGAAGAAAAAAGCAGATGTATATGATTTGTGTGAAAAATATGCTTATTTTGGTTGAGAGTGTGTTCGTTCTACAATGTAATGCGGTCAGTGTGTGTGGAAAATCATATGAAAATTAATTAAGCTTGTGTCGCAAAATTTTCTGCATGCAATTGTTTATTTTTCAATTGCCTTTCGTCAATATTCGTTCAAGCAGCTGTTTAGTATTGAAACAGTGGTGGCAATTTAACACACGAAAAACGCCTAAAAGTGTAAATCAACGTAATCGATCTTTTACAATTTTCAGAACATAAAATTAAGATTGAAAATCCGAAATAAATAACGAAAAAACTATTTTAAATCATATATCTATATATAAAAATAATCCTAAATTGTGATCAATCAGAGCAGTGAGCATTTGACTTATACAATTCAATAAAGGTGTAGCTGTAACACAAGGTCGGGTCAGGTAAGTAGATAATATTATCATTATACATATATATAGAAAAGTAAATTCTCCGCTAATAAACTTAAAAAACGAAAAATAAAATCGGTTTTATTCGGAAGAAATATATCGATGTTTTACTTGGTTTCGAAAAAGTTTAATTTTAAGTAAATTAATAAAAAAAAGTGAATAAGTTGATAAGTGTTTGGAAAGTATGAGTGATAAAAATAAAAATTCCGCTGAGGCGGTTACGAGTGAAAGTAATGATAAAAATATAATCAATATTGCGAAACCTACATCTAATGTTACCACACCAACGTCATCTGTAACCAATATACCCGTCAGTAAGCTAAAAGCCCCAACAAATTTCAACAGTTCAACGGGAACTATCTCGAAAATCGGTCGTCCATGCTGTCATGCAGAACCAAAGACTGGCCCACCACCAAGAGGTAAGTGTGTTGTTCTATAAAGCGAAATTTTAGAGTAAAGTGTTAATAATGTAAAATAAATTGGTAAAGGGTGTAATTTTTCCATAGGAACCAGTCATAGGACTAAAGATTACCATATTGTCTCATATATATTTAATTAACAAGGAAGAGTTTTATTAATTTAAAGAAATATAAGAAAAGCAATGATTTTGTTAATTGCAGGCTTGTCAATAAGTCAATATAAATTATTTTGGATCTCGTAAATTTCTACTTTAGTATGTTTCATAGATTGCAAAGTATAGATAAACATATTCGGAAAGGCTCAATTTATTTTCTTATTAAAAAACATCTACGTTTCTACAATCGGCATTTAAAGACTACCAGAAATACTATACTGCAAGGGTGCGCAAGTTTGGCTCCGAAAGAAGTTTAATTTTATGATATACGTAAATAATTTGGTAACGTGGTTCAATGGCATGTAGTTAAACCAAAGGAAATTTAAGAACATGTCATTTTCGAGGGGGAACTTGTTCGCAGTGGAATATTTTATAGACATAGTTAGGCTGGAGATCGTGGATTCATTTCTTGACCTAGATATATTGTTTGATCATAAACTTCGATTCAATTTTCACATTGAACACGCTGAGAATACTGCTCGATCAGTGGTAGGCTTCATCAAATGCTAGTCGCGGGAATATGATGAAAAGATTATATGTCAGCTTAGTGCGCCCGGCATTGGAATACGCCTAAGTTGTATAGTCACTGTCGTATTGCTGTTATGTGAAATCCATGGAATCTTTGCGGAAGCAGTTTTTGCAGTTTTTGTTGCTTGCTCTAAGAAATTGGCGTCGGGATCCAAACTATTTATATCCTTGCCGTCACTTGAGACACGTAAAATGGTATTGGGCATTACTTTCATGATGAAGCTGATTAATGATGCCATTGATTCGCCGTTTTTGTTGAGTGCGATTAGTTTTAACGTTTCTGTCCGTCCGACGAGGTAATTTCTTTTTATTAAACTTAGCCAATGCAGGTTAAATTATGAGTTTTTACATCCACTTCGTGTTCTTTGTAGCAATCTAAATGAGGTTTATAACCTTATTTCTTTATCGGATTCTCTTGCTTCCATTAAGACTATTCTTCTGAATTGTTTCCGTCGACGTCCTACCTACACTAATAGTTAAAGCTTAATATTCGGAATCCTGAGACGGAGTTTAATGAGTAATTGATAGACACATTAGTTATTTTCTTGTATGTTTTGTATTAATTGTCTATTGTTTTAAGACTTTTTTGCTTGAATTGTAATTAGGTTAGGTACAAATTACGCAATTCACCTGAATCTTCGCTATAGCTGAACTTTGTATTTATAGAAATTAAATAAATATGTAACTAAAAATATTGGATCGCGATGAGAATGCGTACAGTTCCGATTAACTTTAAAATGTCATGTCATCAACAGGGTTTTTGAGGGCCAAACGAAAAACTTAAACCGACTTATAATTCAATATATATATGAGTTTAGTTATGGAGAAGAACTGTTTACTAGCCGTTCTATTTTTTAATTAAACAATGCTTCTTAAAAAAAAAAAAACAAGAAAATAACGGCAAACCTTTATGGAATCGTTGCATATTAATCGAATGAAATTGCATTGTAATTTTTTCTGAACGTTGGCGCTGGTTAAGTTTGGTATTATTAGCTCATCTTTTCAGGTAACCTACACTTATGGGCTAATTGAAGGGATTAACGTAGCGCTTAACAAGCGATAGGTATGTTGCATGAAGTGTTCCGCTTAACAATATTTTGAATTGAAGATACATTAATACCATAAATAGCTGATTATTATAAGTTAATTAGAAGCTCTTTCGAAGTGAATAAAGAACTTTCCGAACAGAAGGAAGAATTTATGAAGATTTGAAAATTATTACCTGTGTTCCCCAGCACTGCGTAACTCTGATTAGGAAAATGTTTTTTTTCCAATGTGATTTAAATACTTTAGTCAAAATAGAACCAATAATCTCACTCCTAGGATAACTTGGGAAATTGGAAATACAATCTTACAATTGGAATTCATGTTGTAGAACTCGCGGTTCTTCACAGAAAACATTGAGAGCTGAAAGGCTGCAATCCAGCGAAAACACCACACTTCCCTCTTTCCGACTTTGTTGTTAGGGGTTTACTTTTTCGTTGTAGCGCCCACTAATTGGGGACATTTTCACTGTTTCTCAAGAAATCCAAATTTTACCATCTGATGGGGGAAAATCTCGATATCTTTTCTACTAACTATATGTAGCGTCATTTAAATTCGAATTAATTCTGCAAGATGTTGTAATATACGCAACACAATAACAGTGATGATCATTCTAACACCCACAACAACAACAATAACACATACAACCTCTAATTACATAAATGGGAAAAGCTTGTACTGAATTTTTAATGAAACGATCAACAATTTTTTGTCTTTCTATAATAGACAGTAACAGATAGCTGCAAGCGTAGTTGTGATTTTAACAGCAAAATATGTGCACATATGTTCAATGTAAACATCTTTACAAGCTCTTGCTTGCTTTGTTTACTACAAATTTTGCCCTTTTTAAGGATAATTTATTACATAAAACATATTGTGTTAGCATTTAGACGATCAAAAATGGTTGTTCCGCGTTTATGTTTTCGATAAGACAGACACACCAAATGTATGAAATGTTATGATTTTGATAAGGCTGTCGTGCAAGTACATTAAAAGTACTCTCATGCGTTTCAGATATCGTTCTGGATATCTATTATTAGAAATTCTACGTAACATTAGTTTAAAAATGTCCACAAAGGTTGGAAAAGTTTTTATTCTTATTACAGTCATTATTATACCCTACTCTAGTTGCGGTATACGCTGTACAGCGATTTTGGGGATGTATGCAAAACCTAGAGAAAACTTAGGACACATTTTCTGAATCGATTTAGACTTGTCCGCACATTTGTCGGTTTATCTGTTTGATGTCTGTCTAATGTAGGATTAACATCTTTAACTTGTCATATTCTACTTTCCAAAGCCTTTTATTTTATGAGAAGGATAGTCTGCCACTTTGCAGCTGTCACCATTTTGTATATATAGCACAGTTGATTATATCACATTGTATTCCTCTTTTAACGAAAGGCGTCCCCAAGATTTAAGCATGATTGAATGGATGGGTACATTAAATATCGATTCGAAGTTTACATGCTGACCAGACACCAAATTGAAGGCGCATACAAAACTGTCTAATTTTTAATACTGATCGGATCCGAAACAGTTATTTGATATAAAAGTTAACTGCAGCAAATTTGCCCCACGTAAATCTATATGTTGAACATCACGGCACGTAAGAGTTCTAATGAAAAGTCGCTAAATGGTAACAAAGTTTGATTTTTAGTACTTACACCAGGCGAAGACAATGTAAGTTCACGTTTTGCACCCCGTTGCCATGAAAAGTATACTTTTACACGGAAAGAAGGTATAATATCTGGTATTGTATTACGGAAATAAATCAAGAATTGCATTCAACATAAAGGTGTAGGGTATTCGATGCTCGGCCAAGTTTGTTTAGAACGTTTTTATTTCAGTTTTCCATCTCAATTCGTATAATACCGTGATGGTCAGGAGATAGGGAGGTGGATGCAGACTAGTGGGTGTGTGCCCAACCGACTAAGCACTCGCTATAACTTTGAAAAAAGTAATCTCTACCGCACTAAGATTTGAGGCAGTGGCTTTTGACTTACGATTCTTGGCTATTCCGCTATTCTAGCGTACAAATAGAAGTATGAACCTAGCACACCTCTATCTTTCGTTGGCAGATTTAAAAAATGCGTAGCCGTCTGGAAGTCATTTTCTGAATAAAAGGAAGTAGGCGTGTGAAGAATTCTTAATCAAATTATCTCATTGGGGAGAAATTTGTCATTTTTTTAAAAATATTCTCTAGTTTATCCCTATACAAATTGAGCACATCTTGTCGTTTACTTATGTATAAGGGCGGAAAGTTGGCCAAGAAGAAAATTACATTTTTAGGTTACCTTTTTTGTCACATTCTCCATTTCGGCAATAAAGACAGATGACCCTTTTAAGGACACCTCTAAACTATCTAAAGGACGGAGCTTGCATCGTGTTTTATATAAACTTTTTACTGTTTCACAAAAACGATTCAACACATCTACTGTAAAAACGAATTCACACGGACAACCCACAATGCTTCGTTGGTATGATTAAGATCAACATGTCAGTAATAAAGTGTTGCGTGCTTCCACCTATTGTTTGCGTTTGTGCTTGCGATGTTAGTTGATTAGATCTAAAAAATGCTTCTTAATTGAAAACTTTTTTCATAGTGCTCCATTTAAACAACAATAATGGCATGTAGACAAATTTTAATGGGAATTGTAACATTTTGTTGTTGGCAGTTTCCTGCTCGCATTGTTGATCGTTACATGTTTCTTACTGCTACCCGTCTCTTAACTAAAAACTAAATTAATCTCAAAACCGGATTGAAGACACTGTCAGAAGTCTGCCTTTGGTTAATGATGATAATAACAACAATATTGCATTCTTTGTATACGGTGCACTTACGTAGGTTGTTTGAAAAGTTTTCTCTAGTAACATGAAGGTAGCAACACTTGTCAACAAGAGTTGGGAAATATGCTGGTTAGCACTCAAACACTTCAAACATCAAAACTTCACCGCACGCGCAGTCATTGGTTTCCGGTAATTGCCTGAGTGGGTGAAAATAAAAAAAAAAATTGGCTATCGGGCTGTCATTAATTATTTGCTTTGTCCGATATTGGATCAAGTTTGGGCATAAGAAAGCTGGGGATTGGACACTGGTACAAAAAAAGCGATGGTTGCGATGGGGAAATTGCTCGAATGAATGATTCGTTTACTGTTGCATTCATCATGTTCCACAGATCTACATTAATAGCCAGTCTAATCCCCAGCTACTATTACTTGTTTACTAACCTCAAAAGAGTAATCCAGAAAAAAAACCTTGGATCAAATAAT